CCAGCCTGGCCTGGGACACTGCCAGGGAACATCCACAGCTTCTCTGGGCACCCTGTGCCAGGCCCTCCCCACCCTCCCAGGGAACAATTCCTAATTCCCAATTTCCCATCTCTCTTTCAGTTTTAAGTCACTCCCTGGGTCCTGTCCCTCCATCCTTTGTCCCCAGTCCCTCTCCAGCTCTCCCGGAGCCCCTTCAGGCCCTGCCAGGGGCTCTGAGCTCTCCCTGGAGCTTCTCCTCTCCAGATGAACATTTCCAGCTCTCCCAGCCCTGCAGCAGCTCCGTGTCCCCTTCTGGCCTCACTCCAGTGTCCCTGCCGTCCCCGTGCTGGGGACCCGGGGACACCTGGGCCCCAAGGAGCTGATGTGCTGCTGTGTCCCACACTCCCGTAAGCAGCAGTTTAAAAGGGATGTGGTTGGAGAAAGGAGGAACACGGAGGTGGGGCTGCACCTCCTGGGGCCGCTTCCCTTCTGCTCCACGGAGATAAAGGCGGTGGGAAAAGGAATGGGGTCGGGAAAGGGACACAGAGTGTCAGCCAAAGACTGCTCCAGGAGAGGGGATCAAGAGCCCCAAAGGCTCTTTCCAGAAGGCTCTGGGAGAAGGGACTGTGATCCTCGCTCATTTACATATAAAAGGAGAAACTTAATTCCAGGGCGGGGAAAATTTACCTGCGAGATTGTGCCCTCGGGACAGGATTAGTGCTGGAGCCGGGATTGGTGATTTCCTTCCCTCTGCCATCTGATCTCCCTCTTTTATTCTTTTATTTCTCTCATTACCAGAAGATAAGGGCAAAAGTACCAATCTCTACCCTGAGTGCTTAATTTAATAATCAGGCTCTGTGAGCTTTTTTTTGACCTTCTAATCCTTGATTCTTTTTAACCCTGGGCATCCTCAAACCTTGGGATCTCCTCCTCTTCAGAGCAGGATGCAGCACGATCCCTGGATGGTTTATTCCCTTTTTCAGTGTTCCTGTCCAAAGATCTCCTTCCTGACTGACACCCTTGAGACTCTGATATGATGAGAGAGCTCTTGGTACACCCCAAACTTGCAGTTTTTGGGGATTATTGGTCTCTCAGCCCTGTGCTGTGTGCTGGATGACCTTTGGAGCTCGGTGTCTCTTGTGGATACACAAATGAACGAAACTCACTGTGAAATCACAAATAAACTAAGCTCACTCTGTGTGCATACCATGAGGGTTAATTAAATGTAAATCTGCATATTCAGCGGGCATTAAGCTGATTTTAAAGCTTTTTTTTCCTTCTCAGATCGTCGATTTGAAGCAGCTGGGACAGACCTGGCTCCTCTCCGTGGGGAGCTCCTGTGGGAAGTTCAGTCCCGCGTTTCACTCGCCCACCTCAGCTCCTGCTCTTTGCCAAAACCATGGGGTTTTCAGAGAAATTTAGACCTGTTTGGGACTGAGGTTGATGAAACTCCCTGAGCTTTCTCCCTGGCGTGTTTTTGGGGTGTTTTTTGGGGTGTTCCCCCACCCCTGGCCCCTGAGGATGGGTTACTGCGCGGCCCTGTACTGCCGCAACGGCACCAGCGGCGCCTACAGGAACAGCTCAGTCAGTTTTTACTCCTTCCCCCTGCAAAACCAAGCCCTGCTGAGGCAGTGGCTCCAGAACATGGGCAGGGACATGGAAACGCCCTCCAAGTACCAGAGCCTGTGCTCGGAGCACTTCGAGGAGAGCTCCTTCGAGGCGCAGCCCGTGAAAACCCGCAAGAGGCGGCGCCTGCTGAAGGAGGCCGTGCCCAGCAAGTTCATCCTGGCCCTGGATGGCACCTGGCTCGTGGGCACCCCCCGGGCCGGCGGGGACGTGATGGGCAACAAAAGCCGAAAAAGGGTCCGGATTTCTGAGCCCTGCGGGGTAATTGAGGGGCTGGGCAGTGGGAATGAATTCAGTTAAAGGGAGATCTGTGTGTAAAGCCTTGGAAGCAGCTTGGAAAAATATCCCTCGGGGGGTTTAATTAGTAATAATAATATTGTTATTCCCTTATAATAAGCTTTCATTACCAGGGAGGAGCTTTTCCAGCCAGTCTGACAGATCGTGGCACTGCCTCAGGGTTTATTTAAAACACTGAATAATTTTATTTTGCATTGAAGGAAGAACCACATTCCCTGAGGGGGCTGGGTGTGGATGCTGACCACAGATATCTGGTTTTATGACTAATTTCTGACCCAGTTATTGGAGCAAATCGTTGTTCTGGCTGAGTCACATCACTTTAAAGCCATTTCTGTCATTCTGGATTAACAGTAGAAGGTTCTTATGTAAAATCCTTCATTAATATGCTGCTTACACATAGCACAGACATCGCTGGGAGCAGCTGGGAGGTGCCAATGTGTTTTAACTGTTGGGATGAGAGGGTTTTCAGGGATTCTCAGCTCCCCTAACTCTGGAGCATTTTGCTTTTTAGGTCCCTGCAATGCTTCCTCAGTGGCCACGTCTGCAGGATTGGCAGAATGAATTTTATAAGCAATTGCTGAAGGAGAAATTTGGACCTTTGATCACACTGGGAAAAGGTCAGTTTTCCCTCTCCAAAGGGACACACGCTGGGTCTGGCCTGGCTCTTGTCACTCCTCACATCCCTGGATTTTTAGAGAATTCATCTTTAAGAGCTTGTGAACCTTTGTGAGAGACAAAAACCTCCACAATTTTCCTTTAAAAAGTTGAAGGACAGTTTAGGATCCCAGGGAATGCAGCTGCCAATAAAACAAGGAATAAGGAATGGAAAAGGTTTGGATACAGGAGCTGCAGTGACACAATTTTTTTTTTTGTTTGTCTTGGTCAGGGTTGGGATGAAATGTGCAGAGACAATATTTAGTGTTTGGACTTAAATATTTACTATTTCTTATCTATATTACAGTCTTACAAGTCGAGTTCTACAGTATTTCACCAACAAGTTAAAAAATGGCCCTGTGTTTATCTCTACAACGTCTTTTAAAGAAAAAAAAATCTAATTAAGAAATTATGCCTAAATTATTTTTACTTTTAACCTAATAATTAATCACTCATTTCTTGTAATGTGGACTTTGTCTAATTACACAATGCTTCCCAAACCCATGGAGAAGAAGGTGAAGAAGAAGGATTAGTCTTCACCCTAAATCTTCTATCTTATTTTCATATATATTACTGTATTCT